GTGTGTGTGTGTGTGTACACGCGCACACGCGCATGCGCGTGCATGTGCGTGTATGCTGTGCATGAGTACATGCCCATTAGTATGTGCAGGTGGATGCTAATTATTGATAGAGTTTCTTTCTTGATTACTTGGTTTGAGTCGTGAGCACCAGAGTGCGGTAAGTACTCTGCCAAGTAGGCCATCTCCCAGCCCCAAATATGCTTCATAAAAGCTGTCTGTGCTACGTAGCATTATGGTAAACCCTTCCAGAACGGGATATTTCTTTAGACCAGCCTGGTCTACAGAGTAAGTTTCAGGACAGTCAGGGCTATATAGAGAAACCCTATCTCAAAAAAACAGAAAAAAAAAAAAGGAAAGAAAGGAAGGAAGGAAGAAAGGAGGAAAAAAAGAAAGAAGAATCTGTGTCCCATAAATCCAGTTGCTAATGGTGGAAGCACCTCGTATTTTGTGGGCTCTAGTGTGACAGTCCAGGGGTCTTGAGAGGCAAGACGGGTAAGCAGGTCCTGATTTAGGAATGGGTCTTGATTTGAGCCCTCACAGAGGCAGAGATGGTGGAGTTGATCCTGCACCATTCATTTGTGTAGTTACTCTTTGCTCATCAGAAATGTGTTGAGCTCTTATGTTCCAAGTACTGTGCTGGTCGGACAAGTGTGGGAGCAATGGGTGTTAGGGCTGTGTAAACCCTAGGAGGCCCAGGCTCTTTGTCTGTACAGTGGGATAATGTCTTGATACTCTGTACAGCTGTAGGATTACATGTAAAATGAATAGAACCGCTAGGTATATGTTAATAAATGCTAAGGAGTATTGTCTTTTTATTTTATCACATGTGTAGCATGTATGCATGTGTGTATGCATTTGCATTTGTGTAGGAGTATTGCATGAGTGTGCTAGTATTTGCACGTGTATGTGCAAGTGTATATGTGTGTGTGAGGGGCCCAAGATTGATATTGGTCTTCCTTGATGTTCTCCACCTTGTATATTGAGGTGGGGTCTCTCGCTTGAACTCACCCCTCCTGATACAGCTTGTTTCTTTAGCCATCTTGCTCTGGGAGATCCTATTTCTGTCTCTTGTGTGCTGGGATTCCAGAAGGGACACAGCCCATTTGATTGTGACACGGTTCTGGGAATTCATGCTCTAGTCCTCGTGCTTATGTGGCAAGCACTTTACCCAGCGAGCTGTCTCTATCCTGATTATTATGTATATGACATCTGAAGATAAGTGAGGTGCCAGATGCTTATTGGTGTGGGTGTTGGGTACCAACACAGTACCCAACATTAACCATATTAATCAGGCCCCTTGTTGGCATATTAGGTACACATGGACACTCCCTCCTGTAGCATTTGTGACAATAATGTCTGCGCCTCAGCCCCAAGGCTTCTGATTGAGTCGGTCAGGCTGAGAAATGTGGAGTGATTCTTGCGACCAAGAGGACGATAACCTCTTGAAACCTGTGTTGTTCTAACCATCTGTGGTCAATGAGTCAGAGAGCGCATTCTGGCCACAGTCACCAAAGAGCAGTGGTTGACACCTTTAGCCTTGGGTTGACTTATAAGCCATTTGGATGCTGTCCTCCTCAGGGGTCCCATGAAACCCTTTGTTGAACTTGGCAAAGCAGCGTGCTAGGCTTATGTTTACTCTTTCGAACTCATGGCAAATTGCTGGGTCTTTATTTAATCCACCCTTCACTGCCAGCCTCCCAAGTTCCCAGTGAAAGCCTTGCAGACTGGACCCAAGTGCACGGCCCTCCTCTGTCCCTGAGTCCCCGAGGGCTCTTCTTGTTGCTAGCTATAGGGGTGAGCGCCTCGGCTGCATGGCAGCACAACCACATTTTAAATGAGCTTCCTGTTAAATTAGCTCTTTGACCTTCAAGTGTATTATTTTCATTTGATTACACCCAAGTCATTTTTCTAGAGGCCGGAGATTAGAAATAAAACAAACAAAAAACTAACGTTTCTCCCTGCCTGTCTTGCCTCGCCCTCCTGAGTTTCCTGGAATTCATTTTTTTTTCTAGTGTTTCAAATAATGCCACTTGTACTTGAAGCTAAGTTTTTAAAGACTAAATAAAACCATATTGTGTTTAATATAGGGCCTTTTGAGATGACCTGGGGTTGCTTAATCATTTGCTTAGACCATCCACAGCGTGCATTTAGGAAGGAAGGCTCATGGGACCCCGAAGAGTGGCCTTTTATGTGGCTACTGAAGGAAGGTTGGGTGACCTATGACTTCTGTCCGGGTTGGTTTGTTTGGGGACTCATATGCTTCTCCCCACCACTCCGTCAGTTCTGACACACCTCATGCAGTAACCTGTTCTCTGTGGTAGCGACCTCACTGGATGCTGATGGCTGTCCACTGAGCAGCACCAGGAATGGAAACAGAGACCCTGGTTAGGATGCTCTGCTTGGCAATAGAGACATGGTTCATGGTTCAGTATTTCCCAGCCAAGGACCTGCATCAGGTAGCTCGTAGTCTGTCACTCCAACACCAGGGTATCTGTTACCCTCTTCTTACCCACACTCACAAACTCCTATCTGTACCTAGACATGCATATATCTTATAATAGAAATCTTACAGAGAGAGACAGAGGGGAGAACGAGAGAACTGGACTTAATTTTGCAGGGGTTCATAGCAGTTTGATGTCTGCACAAGTGAGTTTACTGCCTTCATCGCTGTCCTCTCACCCCCCCCCCGTCTCTCTCTCTCTCTCTCTCTCTCTCTCTCTCTCTCTCTCTCTCTCTCACACACACACACACACACACACACAACACCACCACCAGGAGGCTGGGTCTAGTCCAGGCTGGCACCCTTGAGACCCCTCTTCTTTATCCTAGCCTTGTTCTTTGATCTCCTAGAATTTGTTGTTGGGCCCTCTCACAGCATTTGTAACCCTGGCATAGGGACAAAATTCTTAGTGAGCCTTCAGCGTCTCCTCTTCCCCAGACTGTACCCATACCTTGCTTTTTTTCCAGTTGTTTGACCTTTTGAGACCAGGTCTCTATAACCCCGACGAGCCTCCCTCCCCAGGGTCCTGGGAGTCAGGAATATACCCGTACCCCTCCACACGCATTACATTTTCATCTCCTTTCTTCTGGGTCCCCCAAAGTCTACCTCTGGCAGCGGGTGGCCAGCCTGGGTATGGCTTCTCTCCAGCATTCCAGCCAGCAGTCAGAATGAGCGCTGGTGTATTGTAAGACACGTGTGAACCAGAAAGCCTTCCATTGTCCAAACTGGGAAGTGCCCGCCTGTGATTCAGCTCTGACCACCCCCTTGACAATGGGAGCTATTAGTGCAGCTGAATTTTCTCACCCTCGCGGCGGGGGCTCCCAGACATCCCAGGACTGTTTCGTGAAACCGTGAGCCCTTGAGGTGTTTGCAGTTTGGTTTTTGGGCATGCGCTTTTGAAGAATTAATCTTGTAATGATGACTAATTAGGCGGGAACCAGCTCTTTCAAGAAGATATTCTTGTGTTTCTGAAATTTAAAAAAAAAGTAGGCTAGGGGTTTCCGTGAGAATCTTCCTTGTCTTTAATCAAAGTGAGTCCCGTGGGAGTGGAGAGTACTTTTGTCAGTTTGAGGACATCAATAAAAACAGTGTCGCTGTCTGGTGTGAGGGGTACCCTGGGCAGATAGAATCCAAACCAACCATGGAGAGAACGCTGGCCATTCCATCCTAACTAAGCCCTGTTCCTTTTCCTTAAAACCGGCAAACCAGTCTTCCTTCCTGGAGAGTCCACATGAATCAAGCTCTCCTCCATCTCCACAGGAAGACAATTTTCATTTTCCAGAACCATCTGCCACCACCCAGAGGATCCTGTAAACTGATCCCCACTTCACTCTCCTGCTAAAAGGCCTAATGTATTTGGTTCAGAAATGGCCAGTGGTTGGTTAAACATCCCAGGGTCACCTGACTTCTCGGTGTTTCTCCCGGGCCAGCATGCTGTTTTTCTGTCACACACTTGCTCAAGCTGTACAAGTTATGTTATTAACCCTGGGGGCAGCAAAAGGGAATTGTTAGAAGCCGTGTGATTAATTAGCGCAGTTGTGAAAGCCAGGCAATCAGAAGTCGGAGGACATGGACTGTCAGAGTGAATGTCTGATAAAATCCAGGTTGAATATGAAGGAACAGCCGTTACTATAACAACCAGTCTGTTCCCCCCACCACACACACACCACCCCGAAATAGAAATAAACAAAAAAACAAGGAAAGTAATCCAGGTTGGTTTTTGGGAAGAAGCAAGACACGGGGAGAAGAGAGGGGAAGTGTCTGGGTAGTTGGTTCCAAAACAATAGGGATAGCATCTGATCAAAGCAAACCCCTCGTCCTTTGGCCTGTTGGGTTCCATGCGTCTTCTTCTCTAGGAACCTTTTCAGACTCATTCGGATTTACACCACTGGTCCTTCCCTCTGGTCCTCTAGATACTAAAAGCATGAGCCATCCAGTTTGGCTCATGGATTATTTGGTAGGCGCCGTCCATTTCCAAGTAGAACACTGCCCCTCGAAGGCAAAGGCCAGGCCTTGTCCTGTTTTAGCGGCTTTAACACATAGCAGAACGCTCAGACAGTGACTTCACAGGCTGATCAAGTGTGTCCAGAAACAGCCGTGAGATGGACAATATGAAGGAGAGACTGTGAGCACAGCGCCGGAAGAGTGGATGCATGGAGGGAGAGTCATAGTAAAACCATGTCCACCAACAGTGCATACGGATATGCATCAGACGACGTGTGGCGTGCAGGCATGCTCCCAGTTGGGCTGGAGAGACAGCTCAATAGTTAAATGCCTTTATTCTAAAACCCACAGAAGCCATCCCTTGGCTCCCAAGCTCCTGGCCCCTTGCACCGGTTTCGCGGGATCTTTGTGATCAGTCTGTGCTGAGTGCGTGGCGTGCAGTCACTGGTGAAGAGAGAGAAACATGTTGTGTGGGAAAGCGAGGTCACTGTCTGGCAGGAAGTGAGTTTTGAGCTGTCTCAAAAGTCCAGGATTGGAAGAAAGGGGGGGTCTCGGAGGCCCGAGGACTTGGGTGAAGATGGCGGCAGCCGAGGCCGCGAACTGCATCATGGAGGTTTCCTGTGGCCAAGCAGAAAGCAGTGAGAAGCCCAACGCTGAAGACATGACGTCCAAAGACTACTACTTTGACTCCTATGCCCACTTTGGCATCCATGAGGAGATGCTGAAGGATGAGGTGCGCACCCTCACATACCGCAACTCCATGTTTCACAATCGGCACCTCTTCAAAGACAAGGTTGTGCTGGACGTGGGCTCGGGCACCGGCATCCTCTGCATGTTTGCGGCCAAGGCAGGAGCCCGCAAGGTCATTGGGATCGAATGTTCAAGCATCTCTGATTATGCTGTGAAGATTGTCAAAGCCAACAAGTTAGACCACGTGGTGACCATCATCAAGGGCAAGGTGGAGGAGGTGGAGCTGCCTGTGGAGAAAGTGGACATCATCATCAGCGAGTGGATGGGCTACTGTCTCTTCTACGAGTCCATGCTCAACACCGTGCTGCATGCCCGTGATAAGTGGCTGGCACCTGATGGCCTCATCTTCCCAGACCGGGCCACCCTTTATGTGACGGCCATCGAGGACCGGCAGTACAAAGACTACAAGATCCACTGGTGGGAGAATGTATATGGTTTCGATATGTCCTGCATCAAAGACGTGGCCATCAAGGAGCCCTTGGTGGACGTGGTGGACCCGAAGCAGCTGGTCACTAATGCCTGCCTCATAAAGGAGGTGGACATTTATACAGTCAAGGTAGAGGACCTGACCTTCACCTCCCCCTTCTGCCTACAAGTGAAGAGGAATGACTACGTGCATGCCTTGGTGGCCTACTTCAACATCGAGTTCACCCGATGCCACAAGAGGACCGGCTTTTCTACCAGTCCTGAGTCCCCATACACACACTGGAAGCAGACTGTGTTCTACATGGAGGATTACCTAACAGTGAAGACTGGCGAGGAGATCTTTGGCACCATTGGCATGAGGCCCAACGCCAAAAACAATTGCGACTTGGACTTTACCATCGACCTGGACTTCAAGGGCCAGCTATGTGAGCTCTCTTGCTCCACTGACTACCGGATGCGCTGAGGTGGCGCCAGGCTGGCCTCCTACCGAAGGGGGCTTAGGGACTGGGCTTGGGGGATGGGAGGGTACATCGTGACTGTGTTTTTCATAACTTATGTTTTTATATGGTTGCGTTTACGCCAATAAATCATCAGCTGACAAAAAAAAAAAAAGTCCAGGATTCCCGAGGCTCCTCTGGCCTTCCTTTCTCCCTTTTCTGTTGTCTTGACAATGTTTACTCACCTGCTTGGCTGCCTGGGAGCTTCTCAGGACACTCCCTCAATATTTCATGCATAGTCCTCTTCTTGCTCCTTGTTCCCTGGGCCCTGCTAACACTTCTGTATGCTGATTTTCTCGTGTTGTTTTCCAGCAAGCCTGTCATCTCCCTCTCTTGACGTGGTAACATCTTTAATTATCCACACTGCCATCCCCATAGTAGGTGCTTTATGCTGCTTTGTTGCCTTATTGAAACCCAGGCTGGGCACCTCAGGGTCCTGGCACAATGCTGCAGGCTGACTCAAGCTGAGCTAAGTTTCTATTCAGGGCCTGCAGTTTCCTGGTAGGCCTGGCATGCCAAGAGCCGCCGTTTTCCTTACCATTTCGGAGCTACCACGCTTCTGGGTGAGAACTGTCTGGCCAAGAGACACAGGCTTTCATTTTTCAGAAAGGAAACCCTTCCCCACGGAGGGAAAATAAGCTTTGCTTTAGTGACTAATAACATAAACACAGACAAGATTTCTGGGCTTATAAATAACCAGTTGTAAGAGTGCCCAAGGGGAATGGTGCGTTTTGTAAGAAGAATGGTCACGAGTATTCCCCCCACCTCTCCCAGAGTGACCTTCGCTGTGGGTAAGGAGTCTCAGGTCTTGGGTGCAAGAGCTGGCCGTTCCTCAGTGCCAGTTCCCAAGACTTTACCCTTAGCTGTTGTGAGAACTGGGCTGTCCTGGATAAAAAAAAAAATAGCTGTTGCCCAAAAGATGGGCGAGAGGGTTCTTCAGGGGGGACAGAGACACAGTGCTGAGTCAGCTCTCCGATCCTGCCCCCCAAATTCTCTCAGTGTCGTTGCTTCATGAGAGTCAGGCAGAAGGACTGGTGTGTCTGGATGGTAGCAGAGGCCACGCTTGGAGCCTGCAGGCCGATTGCACCATCCTGTCCTGGCCCCGCTTGAGCTCTCTGTAGTCATGGTGATTGTTCTGAGCCTTGCTCTACCAGGTGTTCCCCTCTGTAAACTAAGACGTTTAAAGGGCCACACCCAAATGACGTCATTCACACAAAATGCCTCTTAGCACAGGGCTGGCACTCAATAGGCCTACGGTACTTGGCGTTGTAGTTAAGAAAGAACTCAAGAGCCTTCTGCAGCCTTCTTGACAGAGTCGTTATGCTCTCCAAATGCAGAATCCTCTTTGGCATTTAGCTCATCAAATGTGCTATTTGAGCCTTGACTGTAAACGTGGCCTGCATCCTATAGAGGCTGCAGATGGTGTCCCATAGCCCGGCCTAACCATGAGGGGAATCCCGTGGCCCTGCCGACTGCCTGTAACAACAAGGGGGTGGGCGGTCTCATTCAGATCCATCACACGCATCCCGTGTTTCCTGTACTTCCTCTGGATGTGAGTAGGACCACGGAGATGCCCTGGTTCACCTGCAGAACCTAAGATAAGAACCTGCTGTTCAAGGGCAGCCAAGCCCACGTCGGAGCTTTTTCCAAATGTTTCACCTGTTGAATCACCTTCCAGGGTCTGTGCTCCAGGAAGCACAGCCATACTGGTGTTCTGCCTCTCGGCCCTTTGGCAGTGGGGTGACAGAGAAGGGTTAGAAGCCAGTGAGGGTGGAATTGTGGTGGAGTGACAGAGGTGGAGGGACCCAATGTGTGTATTTTAGAGGCCATGCCATCGGGCCATGCCAGCAGGAGTTGCTTAGTGTACAATATGTCACACTGAGCTATGCTGAAGTATGCGGTTGAAAAGGGAGGGTTCAGTTCTGGGGTAGTTCTCTCTGTGGGAGATATGCCGCCTGTTCTTCAGATGACAGTCCCAACCTCCTTTAGGGATGCTCCTGAGTCTGAGATGTGAGGTTCTTGTGTATTTTATGTGTCAAAGCACTTAACTTTTTTCTTCCTTCTCCCTGCCTTTAAAAAAAAAAAAAAAAGGAAGCCTGCTGCTTCCTTCATCAGCTTGAAACACATACGTCGAGGCCACCTTCCCTTCTTTCCAGAATTTATGGTTAATGAAAAGTGAGTGCACTCCAGGCTGTAGTCCTGATAGGAGCCAAAGTGGCTGGGTCCAGAGAGGCCAGCAGACAGCGGGGCAGCCAGTGTTATCTGGCTGTACCCTTTCCTCTCCCTGCTTCCTACCTCCTTCCCCTTCATTTTATCAGAGAGGGTTGGCTGGATTGGAAGGAGCCAAAAAGGAACTGGCAGGGCGGGTGACCGTCTAGCAGCCGGTGACAAGGTTTGGAAGGACAGGGAACCAAGGCTTCAGGCAGGTTCCAGTTCAACTCAGTTGCTCATTGTGTGTGTGTGTGTGTGTGTGTGTGTGTGTGTGTTGGTGCCAGGTGCTGGGGGTCCAGTAATATTAAAATAAACAATAACAGCCAATGTTATTGAGTGCTGGGCAGCAAATACTTTACCTACAGAGCCGTCTCCACAGTCCCATTAATTCTCCTCTATCCTCTCCACGGAGGACCGAGCAGGGGTGGGAGGGGATTGGGGAGAAATGATCTTGTTAATGAGAGTGAGTTCTGCTGAAAAGACCCAGGTATGTTTCTCTCAACTGTACAAGGTTTGTCCAGGGACAGAGAGAAGCGACCCTTGTCCCAAGTCCTCCTAATGTTGAATGTACAGATTTGTGGCACCCCCCCAACCCCCATCTGGGTCAGTGACGTCTCCACGGGTCTCCCTTGCTCCCTCCCTGCAGTCCTGATTAATGCTGCTGGGTGACAGTGTTTGTGTGTTCACCTCCCCTTCCCCACAGTGTTTGAGAACAAAGATAAGATTGTGATCATCATGGAATACGCCAGCAAAGGAGAGCTGTACGATTACATCAGCGAGCGGAGACGCCTCAGCGAGAGGGAGACCAGACACTTCTTCAGGCAGATCGTGTCCGCGGTGCACTACTGCCACAAGGTATGGCGGGGCTCGCCCGCTTGCGCTGCAGACAGCCTGCGGACACCTCGCGACACGCTTAATACCGTAAAGGTCTCGTTAGTTCATTGCAACATGTGTGGAGAATTTACAGAATGGGGAGAGAAAAATCCCCCCTATTCAAATCCCGTGTGTGTGTATGTGTGTGTGTGTGCATGCATGCGCGCGCACGTGTGTGCAGGTGTGTTCATTTGTGCACGTGTGCATAGAGGTCAGAGGTCAATGTCAGGTGTCCTCCTCAGTTACTTCCCAGCTGAGTGTTAGAGACAGGGTCTCTCCCTTAGCGTGGAGCTTGCTGGTTTGGCTAGACTGACTTGCTAGTGAGCCCTCAGGATCTGCCTGTCGTCTCCCCCAACCGTTGGTTGACCTCTGTGGACACGAGAGACACTCGTGATCAGACGTATCCTCAAGTGACACTGGAAAGCACCACAGGCTGTACTTCCGTTATCCGAAGCGTGTGAATGTGCGGATTGTGTCTGAATGGGACTTTCTTAGACTCATTCCATCTTCTTATGTCAGCCAGGAATGTGGCCGTGTGAACCAGACTTCTCTGGGTATTTCATTAAAGAGAACCAGCATCCCTGTTCTCTGTGTCTCTTCTCCAGGAGACTTGTTTTTTCAATCACCTCCTCAGAGCTCAGATTAGCAAAAACAGTAGCAGGAATGCATGCTGGCTCTCCGCAGTCAGGGATTGTGGAGGTATTAGAAGCTGACACACACACACACACACACACACACACACACACACACACACACCACAGAGAACTGACAGTAGCCATGCCCGTCAGTTTGCTCAACAAGGCAGCCTCCTCTGAGGAAGCCATTGGTTGGGAGCCCATTCTGCAGCGCATCCATACAGCCCCAGGCATTTCTTCCAGTCCACTGCTCTCTCTGCCGCCCACCCCTGGGAGACTTAAGCAGACCAAGCATGGCTGCTGGGCAGAGCCCCGCCCTCAGCCCTTTGGTGTCCTCTTCCCTTTAGACTGGCTGGCTGCTCCAAAGTTCAGCTCCCAGACTGGTCAGAGCTCGCCTGAATGAAAAGGGTACATGGTATCACAGTCCCCAGTGGCTCTGGTCTCTTTGGCGGGCAACCACCTCTTCCCTTTCATCAGTCCCGCGTCCTGCAGAGTGGCGAGAGGGACTTCCAAGTCTTTCCGGCTGGCTGCTTCGGAAGTATTCCAGACAGAGCTTGGGAGACTGGGTCAGGCCTTTGTCCAGCATGAGGGATGCAGGCAGGCAGGCAGGCAGACAGACAGACAGACAGACATGCAGGCAGGCTGTCCCTGGAGCCCTATGCTCCGTGTCCCCAGCTGAGATGTCTGCTGCTCCCCCTGGATCCCATCTCAGACCGGGTCTGCATTGCCTGGGATTATATTGCTTTCGTACAGCGGAATTACATTCCCAAAAAGCATCCCCCCGCTGGTTTACAGGCTCTGAGGGAGAATGGATTCCAGTCATTTTTCCTTTAACCACACAGCAAGTGAGTAATGCGCTCCTGTCGCTGGGCGCTGTCTGGGGAGCGTCCTGACGGCGGGAGCAGGCCTGAAGGATGGAGGTGGAGACCACCAGGGAGGGTCTGTCAGATTGTCCCCTCTGCCCCGCCTCCCCCTAGTTCTCCTGCCGTACGTCATCTCACCCACTCCTGTTCACCTCTCTCCTGTTTTCTTATTGCAGAATGGTGTGGTCCACCGGGACCTGAAGCTGGAGAATATACTGCTGGATGATAACTGCAATATTAAGGTAAAGCTCAGACAAGGCCTGGCTGTGGCGGGTAGGTGTGGCTTCCCCTAGGCCTGAATCTCAGGCAGCCACTCCCTCTGCTGGCAGGCAGGTTCTGGGAAAGACTCCCAGCAATTAGCTCATTCAAAGGATTTAATTCAGCCAGCAGGCATTAAGGAATCTACTACCTACCAGACTCTCTTTTCCCTGCTAGGACAGCAAGGGACACAGTCCCTGCCAGCAGGAAGTGCACAATCTGGACTTCTTATCATAAGAGTGACATACATATTTCC